AGAGCTGACTCTCCCCATTCTCAGATTTACCGAGGCATTTGTGGCAACAAAATTTAGATACCTGATTAAGACTAGTTTAAAAGCCACATTAGGAAGCTGGAATAAGAATGAAGCATTTTAAAAAAAAAGATAAATAATAAGAAATGTGCCACTCACTAGTGAGCATATGCTTATTCATATCCGATGAGGTTTTGTGGAGATTGTAGTAAGTTCAACAGTTGAGGTTATAAGTCAACTGAAGATAGACCATAGTTATTATTTTATTACTTAAGTTAACGGTTATATAACATGGACTACTACCTATTCAATAGACATCACGTAGATACACTTTCATGTAAACATCTTGCAGTTGATTAAAATCAAATTAGAGATCAGAACCAAAGTACATCATGACAATTATATAATAGATCAGAGAAATATACATTTAATCAGTATGGTTATTTGTGGAGGTTGTAGTATATCAACAGCAAACTAACATTTGCGAGCTGCTGTGGAGTTCCATACTAGAACGAAACGGTCGTCTAATGCTTCCAAGTTTCCATCAGTGGTCTAGCTTAGATCAACTCGTCACGTCAACTGTCAAAAATATATTGATCATAAATCTGTTCGCTATAATAATCTATTACAAATCATTTACACTGGATATATTATACACAATATCATAAAATTACTGATTCATGATATAATGATCTAGATTTGAAACTATAGTTAATCTACCATGTTATTTATAACAACGTATTCCTATCAGTGGCAGTTGAACATAACTAATCAATTGGCATTGTTTACTTGAATCTTCCGATTGATATTTTGCTCTGCGATTGATCAGTCTGTGATTGGTATATGTGCATACTGAGTGGACTGCCTCGATATTACCTTAATTCACCAGCTTTTATAAGCAATAATTGTTGATGGCTAACAGTGGAATCTAGTTTGACACGTTTCGTCCCATTTGGGACTCGTTAGCTGGATGTACCTGCATCTCAGAATTGATATTCACTCTGAGAGTCGGACTCAGTAACGTTCGCATCAAACGTCATTGCACTATCCACATTTTAGTACTCACTAGCTAAGTCGAAATGTACCATGAATAGTAGTATATTTAGATATTTCCCTTCTAACTGATTTCAATTTTTCCATGATACAATTCAATGAAACAATAAATTAGATAAATCTCTATTCAATAATCATATTAATTCCTTATTCATTATCCTTACATAGGTCAATGACATAATTATGTAATAAAAAGAAATATAACCTATTCACTACACTAACAATATGACCTGAATCAATTCAACCTAAGACTGTTATACAAAAGATAGATAGATAGATAGATAGATACTAATAACATACATTTTGACAAGGAATAGAATCATTTATGAAAGGATTTTCCAAGTTGAATAGATCAGTTGAATCATAAAAATAAAAAAACAACATTAGTAACTATGGGATACCCTAAGTAATTGAGTTAAGGTAACATAGTGATGTAATTAGATTAGAATTAGATCAAATTCAATGTTCTAACTGTTATAACTTATAACCTTGTGTTTTATTAATATGTAATGTAATGATATTGCTAATTAGAGAACAATAGCGGTGGTCTGCTTGAATATTTGGGCTACCTGATCTTTCCTACTATCTAGATATTTCGATAAGTTAATTAATTTCAGATGTTTTAATGCATCGCATAACCGATTCAAGTGCATTTCCGAAAACTGTACAACCTTTCGTTGTACTTGCTTACTTAGTTACATACGCTTGATACTCTAATGGAGCATAGGCCGCCGAGCAACATTCTCCAATCCACTCTGCCCTCGGCCTTCTTTTGTAGTTCCATCCAATTCTTCTTCATCTTTTTCATGTCTATCTCCGTTTCCGGCGTAATATGTTTTCTGGTTTTCCTCTTTTCCTTTGGCTTAAAGGATTCCATGTGAGAGCTTGTCTTGTGACGCAGTTGGGTGCTTTCCTACCTTTCGTTGTATAAGTTATAAAATAACTCAATCAGAGATATGGTAGTTGCTGGTATTATGTATCGAAAAGATTGTACATTGTTTAGATGTCGACTGACTGAACTGATAATCTCTAACTAGCAATCATTCAATATGTTATCATCAGGATCGTCCAAGAAGTAGGAAATGGAAAACTTGCTGAAACGCTTTATGTTGAGAATTCTATATTCTACCAAAAGATATCATATTGAATAAAGCTAATAATAACAATACTAATATAATATAATTATCGACTGGGCCAATGAGCACTGTAGAGTCCTTATTGATCCTGCTTCCTGACTAGCCCAGCCAGTTAAGTCTAGAATACCAATCTCAGCCTCCACGACATGAATCAAGTATTTCAAACATATGGGTTTTATACAAACCAAACAGATCACATCGCACCATAATATAGAAAATGACATTTGTACAAAATCTAACCAAAAGTGACTGTGAATGAAGGGGACTGTATCGAATAGACTAAACATAACTCAAGAACTGCAAATCGTATAATAGTAGTCTATGGGTCAAAACAAGACTTATAATAAAAGGGACAAGAATATGAATAGTTTAGCTACTTAACAATTATACAATAAGAATGTCTGTATAGTATTAGTCCAGAAATAGATTCCGACGGTTACCATTCATTATTCTCATCGAGATATGTCACAAACCAAGTTGATTATTGTTAAACTTACCATTGATAATATTGATCATTTTCTCTTAGATTAATTCTAACACTGATTGATGAATAATGAAAACTTTCCATGGTGGTTTAAAATTAATCGACTCATGATCTCAATCAAAACATAATTATCTCTACAACCTCATGCTGGAAATAGAAGAATACTATTCTTAGAATTCCTTTATTATCATTTTATCAACGATTACAACCATCATTAAAATGTAAATTCACTTGGTATTGTTGTTTAATCGTATCTTCCCATTGTTGTTTAGGATTACAATTAATCAGTCTCTTATTATTGGCATATATGCAACCTGTGCGGGTTGCCTCGATATTGCCTTAAGTCACAAGCATTTTAAGCAAAAATGAATAGTGGATGGCAGTGAAATCCAGGCTACGTGTTTCGTCCTATTTGGGATTTGTCAGCTTGGTGTACCTGAATCCCAGAGTGAATGAAAGCAATATCTAGGCAATCTGCACAAGCTACACATATGCCAATAAGAGACTGATCAATCTGCAGTCTTAAAAACGAATGGGAAGATTCAAGTCTACAATATCAAGTGAATGTGAATTCAATTTCATTAAATTATATTGTGATAGCAATTGCTTACTTGTAGTTTAGAATCAACGTATCAATCCTGAAGTATATTTGCTTACATTCAAGTTCATATTGAGATCAGTTGTGAATCAAAGATCTATTAGATTGGAAATACTTGAATAAGAGCCATTCAACATTAACTCAATTATCTCATAGTAAGAATTCGTTACCAGTGGAGTTCACCCAGGTCTGTTGTGAGATAGGAACTCACTGAAAACAATAGTGTACGGTGGCGCAACTTCGTGGATTGGTTGAAGTGAGACATTAACAACGTTGGATCCCGGCTCAGTGGTCTAGATGGTTAAGCGCCTGTCGCGAAACTGATAGGTCATGTGTTCTAATGGTGGGAGGCGGGATCGTGGATGCGCATTGCTGAGGAGTTGCATACTAGGACGAAATGGCCATCCAGTGTTTCCAGGTTTTCCATGGTGATCTAACTTCAATTGACTCATGATTTCAACCAGTGAAATTTCTAAAGTCTCCACAAAACCCATTCTGATATCTAATAGATATCAATCTATCTTATAAATTAAGAAATAACGAACTTCGGATCTTACAGAAAACATAAACATCAAAATAATGTAGGTAAAACTTATTTGTCAGTTCAGTGATAAAAATGTCGTGTATGCTACTTATATCTGTCGACATAAGTAGTATGTAATATGAGTCAATAGACAAATGCATAGCAACAGTAGGCTTTGAAGATCGACTTGAAGAAAACAGAAACGGAAATAGATAAGACTTATGACTTCGAAGAATCATACAGAATGTGAAGGACAAATAATGGAATTTCTCACCGAAAGTATTCAATGTATGGTTCTCATATTTTATCACCGACCGTTACTGCATATATGTATCAGGTCTTATGTTGTAGCTGACTGACTGCCATATTTTTTTCAAGAGTTTCTGTGTGTACTAAAAATAAATTGATTGCCCCCACGTTAGTGTTCGTGCACTAAAAAAAACAAAAATCACAAAGAGGTGAGACTATAATTTATAGACGACCTTCGAGTGACGCCAAAGTGACCTTGATAATGTCCACTCTACTTGCTGCGACTAAATATGAAAGTTATAAACCTGTATGAAGACTAAGGATTATGATTTACAGTTGATGGTTAAGAGTTAGAAATTAGATTTACGGTTTTTCATCACTTATTGACATCAACTAAAATGACATAATGCTCTTTACCCAAAAGGACGAATGAATTTCGATCCCAAATCCGAAATCTATTATCGTGAATGCGATTGGTCCTTCTATAAATTATAGTCTCGCCCCTCATCTAGCGCAAAATTCAATCAACTATTTGCTTAAATAGGGTTTCAGCATTATAGCTCAGCCAGTCAGTAAATCAATATATATATATATATATATATATATATATATATATAAGTTATCGTCTCACTTAAAATCTTTCACTTCATATTCAAATTCAATTGAAATATACTTCCATTGAATACTTCAATTTCTTGATAGTATTCCTTATCCATTTAATGATTTTAAAACAAAAATAATCCCTCACTAAGATGAACATTGAAAATTCTGTCTAACCAACAACAAAAAAGTGATCAGTAATAAATCATTCAACACATTGATGTTACTATTATTTCTTAACCATAATAATGTACCGGACGCCCACGCATCACTTTTTTTCCACCCTACAAATTAATTGGTTAATTTTTAAAGCACATAATGGTTGGTATTGGTGATGACACTGATGTGTGTGTGCCTGTGCGTGTATGCGTGTGCTGTGCTGTGCTATGCTGTAGTATGGTGTAGTGAGGTTTCTTTGGTGGGGGGAGGTCGGTTTTCAAAAAAGAAAAGACTCTGTTGTTTATTATCATTTTTTAATGATTATCATTTATTGTAGTGTGAACACAACATGTGAATAACTTTTCTGGAGAAAGAGATGATTTTTTTAAAAATCGTATGTCCTGGATCTAAAATACAAAATTGTCGTCTGTTATCTTAGTTTATGACAGAAAAAATCTTTTTTGGTTTTACATAGAAACAAATTACTAATGGAATAACTAAATATAATTTAGTTACTATGTACTTTATTAAATTCAATGGAAGACCTTATTTTATCCATCATATGCTTTACATGATAAGAGAACAAAGAACAACTAATTGAAGTATCCCAGTTTCTACGAAGAAGAAGCAGAAGAAGAAGAAGAACATGATGCATCGTTCAAGATCAAATTCATTACATTCAATTCTAGAAATGATTCTTTCATTATTATTACTAATGATCTATGGAATTATTATCATTTATAGTAAACCATTAGATATTGAATCAGATACACCATTAACTATAAGTTTTAATCCATCGTCTAATCAAGTACAATTAAATCAACCATTAATAATACGTTGTGAAGTTCATTCATTCAATAATAAGCAATTAGAAGTCAATAACAATAATAATAATAATATACTTAATGGTTATAGTATGTTCTTTCAATGTCCTATAGCCCCATGGGGTAAATTTTGTTTTCATAATTGTCAATCAGCATGTGTTGGTGAAATACCTAATCAATGTCCATATGATAATGAATTAAGTCTTATTAAATGTCGTACTGCTATGACTGAACAAGGTTATTTATTTTATGAATATACAATACCAAATCTAACTGAAACATGGTTAGGATTAAATCATAATAATAATGATAATAACACTTCAATGGATAAGGATAATCATCGTAATAAAATAGGTTTCTCATGTAAAACAACTGGATTAGAAACACCAAGAATTCCTTTAACTATAGTTAAACCCAATGATATTCAATTGAATACAATGGATCTATCAAAGACGAAAACATCATCATCATCATCTAATTCTCATTCAATGATATCTCATTTGAATAAAACTATATCTAATGAATATAATACACAGAAAGATGAATCTAATCCATTGAATAATGGAATGAATCAATCGATTAAACGAATCAATTCTGAACTTAAAGGTAAGACTATAGTCATTCTTTCCTTTTTCTTATAATCGTTACATCTATGTACCTAAATAAATGGTTAGTCTGGTTGTCAGAAGGGGTATCGGCATCGTGAATTCCGAAGGAATTCGGTTTTTATCACGATGCCACTTCTAAATGAAGACCTTTTAACATCCAGGGCAGAGTTTAAGTGGTTTGAATAATTTTCTTCTGGTTTGTGTTTTTTAGCGAGTTAGTTTTCTACGGGATGGGATCGCTAACCTCATACCCAACCCTCCTGCGGAGGGACTCCAGGGGGAGTTTCTTATCATTGTTATTAACATTACTATACATAAAATAATCACTTAATCAATCGAATTCTAACTTTTCTTCCCATCATATCACTTATTTACTTAATCAATCACTCACTCGCTCGCTTACTTACTTACTTAAGCCTGTTACTACCAGTGGAGTACAGACCGCAGACGAGCATTCTTCAACCCACTCTTTCCTGAACCTTCCTTTCTAGTTCCATCCAATGGTTGTTCATTCCTCTAATATCTGTCTCTATTTATACTTGTTCATTAACAAGCATACACCTTTTAAAATATGAATTACATTAAGGATCTTATCATGATCATTATACATTTCTAGATGGAATTCTTATTCTTATGATAAAGTAATGAGTAGTATACTTTAATTATATTGAGACTATAGAAATAATCCTAATGAATGATCAGTGATTATCTTCTTATTATTATTATCCTTGAAAAAATATAGAATTCAGTTGTATCCATGTGGTTTCATGTTTATGTTTTGCTGAAGGTCAATTATTTTACTAGAAAATTTCTTAAAGAATTACCTAAATTTTCTTATGATTAGAGTAAATTTTGATACAAATTAATTTACTACTGAAATGTATCTTCAGTTGTAAATGTTCATCGAGTGAGATGGCTAGACCGTGTTTGTATACACTGATGAAATATTCTAATTAACGTCTGCGAAACATGGCCATTAAGAGTAGAAGATACTCATAAGCGACTAGTATTTGACCACAGATATCTTAAAAATGTTGCTCACATCTGCTGGAATCATAGGATAGTAATTGGGAGGTTAACACAGAGTATTAGAGAATTATGATAAATCAGTTGATGAGGTTGTAAGTCTTCATCGACTGAGATGGTTGGGCCACGTGTTACGTATGCCTGAACACCGATTACCACGACGCTCGACGGTGACTAGTTTAAAGATGGTTGGAAAGCAGTTAGGGCGGCCAAACTAAAACGTGTCATCAGTGCTTGAAGTCACTAACCTCTGGTCTCAGCCATGTTGGCAGATGCAGACTACTTGGTTGGTGTTCTCGTGACTATCCTGACCAATGATTGGAGACTCTTGGTGACATGGCTGAGAATCGATCACAATGGCGTCAGTGTAAACACTTTCTGTCTTCCCTTATACATAAGATTATAATTGCTTTATATCTTTCTTTCTACAAACTAATTCTTTCTTCCTGTACTATATCCTTATGTGCAATCATTCTTTTATATATTTCCACCATTGAATTATCTACTTTTATGAATTTGGTGTTCACGTTGTTGTGCTAATGAGGTATGGCAACTTGATCGATGCATTTATATGCCTGGTCCTACATTTTAGTTGACTGTCTAATTGACTGAAATGTATCAAATAAATATAAGTGTACACAAGTATATAGTTGGTAAACATGGACCTCTAGATAGTTTTCTTGTTTCTATTTACACTTCATTTCTTGATCATTTAAAAGTTACCCTAACATGAACTGATCATGTTTAATGATCATAGTCAACATAATTCTCATTAATGAACAGATCAATTTACAATCAATAATATTTTCTGGTTTCAATCCATGTTAACATAATCATCTTTCAACTTCCTTCATTGAATATTTAAACAGTTCAGTGCGTTAATCTTGAATATCATGGTCATCCAGTGCTTCTAGGTTTTCAACAGTTGTCTAAAATCGATCTGTTTATGGTATCAATAAATAAACCGATTATTCTTAATTAGTGATTGGGAATTTGGATCTTATGACACAAAATCAATTTTTCCACTATTCATTTTCATTCACACATATCACACATATTTGATTTACATTCACCGTTGTTTATATTCTGAACTACTGGAAGTTGTAACACATGGAATAGATAGATGATTACGAGATTGGTGTATTAATGTTTTATTCCTTCATGTAGGTTACTATTATTCCAATAACAGACTTCTTGAAAGTTTTGCTACAGTAATTTTGAGATTTGTTATATATAAAATGAGAATCCGTTGATGGGGTTCATACACTGTATTGTTTCTATGAATCATCATATATGTTGAACACTGCCTCCCCTCAGGCTACGTTCAACTCGACAGTAGTTAGAATGGTAGAATTTGAGGAGTAACCAAATCAAACCCTGACATCAATAATTGAAATATTAACTGACAGATTAATTCATGTTATTAAATGTGAAATTCTGATTTGGATGGTGTCTAACATCACCATTGGATGCCGGCTCAGTGGTCCAGTAGGTTAAGCGTTCGCCGAGAGACCGAAGGCCATGGGTTCGAATCCCGCCAGTGGGATTGTGGATGCGCACTGCTGATGTGTCCCACAATAGACGAAACGGCCGTCCAGTGCTTCCAGGTTTCCAAAGGTGGTCTAACATCAATCAATTCATGATCTCAATCAAAAAACGTAGTAATCTCCACAACCCCTATACTAGTACTATCAATTCCATAGATCTCTTTCTCACTGTATTTATAGAATGGGTTGTAACTGATACCGATACTACTGTATCAAACAGAATACAGTTTATAACTAACTACCTGTCAAAATAACCTAAAAGCTCTACCATTTACCTAAATTTGATGAATCTTAGTTATCATCTACAAAACTGCAAAATTATGTCATTCATTCAATGGAAACACTACTTCAGTTTCATGTGTCTCAGACGTAGTGTCAGTTGCTATGTTAAGTTCATATAACTTATTCAAGCTTTTGGACAGGACAATTTATTCATTCTTCTGAAGTAGTCACATTTTAACCTTGTCAGTTATTTGCTTATCAGTCTTGACTGTTTCTATGTAAGTGTATGTATGTGCCCTTCTTATCTCATTCATCAGATGTCTGTAGTTTATTTTTGTGTCATTAGATCGATTCACGCTTGACTAAATCGAGTTGGTTTACTCGCCCTCTCCATTGTACGTTATTTCGTTTCGCTCTCTTCTCTTCGTTTCGTTTCTTTGCTCTTTCGTTTGAACCAACGACTGTACAAAATATACGTTTTCAAAAATCCTTTCTTGCTGAATGATTACTGATTGGTGACCAACCAATTGTAAATACATCTCATTCTGAAAGGGGGTCAGTCGTGGTCCAGATAACTCAGTTGTAAAGTCTGTGACTGTGAAGCTGAATGACACGGGATTAAATCTGTCTGGGAGCATCAGTCCCCTCAAGATTACAGGTACATCTTACTGACGAGTGCCAAGTAGCACGAAACCTGTGTACAGGATTACGTGTTGACTACCTCCAACCACCATCTTATCCTTTCACGTATTTGGCTTATTTTAATTCTGTTATTCACTAACGCGATTTAAGTCGATGATTATACATGAGGGTAGTCAGGATGTATGGTTCTATCTCAATCATCGTACGATCCAATTGGAGTCAGATCATCAGCCATAACGAATCCAATAATAACCATTATAGTTTTATTGATATTTTTTTGAAAAAATATTGATTATTGTGTGGTTTGTCATTAAATTATTGATTAGTATACACAACTATTTTTATCACTTATAATTCGACCTGTTTTATTACATAACACCATGTAATCAATATTGAGTATTTTTTTCTTTTTGTTGATTGATATTAATGAACTTATAAGTAGTATATGAGATCAGTAGTTAGGTTGATTTTAATAAATGAATTCTTAGGATACCAAAGATACTGATAGATATAAGTAACAGTATTGTATCCTAATGAGAATAATAAATGGTAACTTTGAAGATTCATTTGTAGACTAATATTTAGGTATCTTTGGTTAAGTAACTAAACTATGCATACTCATATTCCTCTTATTGTAAGCTTTCTTCTGATCTATAGATGATTATTATACGATTTACCATTCTTGATTTATGCCCAGTCTATTCATTACAGTCTCCTATATTCACAACCACATTTGGCTAATTCTTGTATAAATGTTGTTTCCTGTTTTATGGTATGATGTGGTCTGTTTGTTTCGTATATAAACCCAGTATGTTTGAAATATAATGATTCGTATCGTAGAGGCTGATAGTGGTGTTCTGGACTTAACAAGCAATGTTAGGCAGGGAGAAGGACCGAGAAGTGGTCTAGACTGCTCATACTTGCTTTATGCGTCATTCGTCCGGTCGATAAATCACTGTTCTCTAATATTGATAGAACACAGGGCATAAGTTAAAACAAACAGATTATTGAGAGTTATTGAACTTTGAACGTTTGAAAATAACTTTGATTATAGACTATGAACTAGTTTACAACCAGTTTAAAATGTTATAGAAGTACCAACGAATGAACAAACAAAACCTTTCAGTCTTATAGCTATTAAGATATGTGTCAGAATTTCATGACTTATATTATGCCACATCAGTATAGATATGCAGCAATATGTGGCCATCATCCTGTGCCAGAGATGGGTAACTCTTTCAATTATAATGTGGTAGACTTCATAAGTAAACTTCATGAAATCCATCTTTAAGGTTAATCACTGATGAACACAAGAATAATATTTAGCTGAGTGATTTTCTATACAAATTCTGTGTAGTTTAACAATCCGTTCAATTCAAGCATTTAATGACAATATAAATTACCCCACCATATCGAATTATAATGAATAATATGGATTTGGATTTACGCCTATTACTCTTAATGGCACATAGACGGTCGACCAGCATTCTTCAACCCACTCTATCCTGGACCTTCCTTTCTAGTTCTATCCAATTGTTGTTCGATCTTCTCTCGTCCGTCT